TTGCCCTGAAAGCCTCCTGGTTTCCGTTAGCATAATCAGGCGCTGGTTCAGGTCCCCTGGGGGGAGTGCTATTGGAGTGTTTTCCTGTGCTTTCCATGTCAGACATGCCCGTTTGGGGAGAACTGAGACATATTTCTAACAGGTACACACAGAGCTGCGGCCGATTTCACCAAGCGGAATCAGATGAGGTAAGAGGGAAATGTGTCGTCCATGGTAACCTCATAACATTGGAAAAACCAAGAGGACGGCGAGGAGATTTTGATTTCTCCGTGACGGTAGGAGATGCATTAGATGGCTGTATCTGAAGGCAGCGGTCGCCTTTTCTGATGCTCATCAGTTTGTGACGTCACAGAAATTGTTGAGAATGTGGAACTAATTTCCTCAGTGGTGATGGTGCTGAGTTCTAGCTAAGCCCCAGGTCCCCAGAGCACAGCAGTGGGTAAGAGGTGCCACTGCTCAGGAAGTGCTGGGCCAGTGAGTGAGTGGCTGTTGAGTGAGAAGCTAAATCATTAGCATAGGGGAACACCATCTCCCGTTCTGCGATTTTCGCCCTCACTGCTCCGTTAAATTGTCTTTCAACTGTGGAACAAAGGGAGGAGTCTTTGCCCTGCTGTAAGCATGGGACCCTGCTGCTCTTTGGAACTTGAATTTCTTTTTGCTCGTCGTCCTCGTGCTCACTGAGGTGGAGGGGGACACAGCGACGAGCATCCTGCTTCCATGTCGCCCGAAAGTGACTAAAAGCTTCCTCGCTCTGCACCGCCCGGCTCTCTGAGCCGCGGGTCCACCTCCGCCTCCTCCCCTGCAGAGGCGCTGAAACAGGCCCCCCCGGCGGGGTGCGGACAGGGCCTCCTTCCGGCCCAGCGCCCTCCCAGCTCCTGCCCAGGCCTCAGGAGGGGCAGAGTCACCGGGGCCTGGACAGGTCTGTGGAGGCGGTGACACGGTCACACTGCACTTGCAATAATGTACATGACCGGATGGAAGATGGATGCAGACAGGGGAAGAGAAGAGAGAGAACCTTATTCTCGATTATCCAACTGGGAACAAAAATAACACGGGAAGAAGAGAACATGGCACGTCCTTGTGACCACAAATCCGGCCGCGGATGACTGGGCAGGCGGCCGCCTGGTGGGACGAGAGGCCATGCCTCCCCATTCTGGCCCTGGTGGCTGGGAGGGAATGGAGCCTCCGTGGGCCCAGGAGGTCACGGTTGGATTCTCCGTCAGGCACATGCCCGGGTTGCGGGCTCGATCCTCAGTAGGGGACATGCAGGAGGCAGCCGCTCTTCATCATTGGCATTACTGTCTCTCTCCCCCTCTCCCCTCCTCTCTCTGAGATTGATAAAAACGAAAAAAAAAAAAAAAAAAAGAAAGAAAGAAAAGTCATGAGGTCGAGCCAGCTTTTGAGGTATAAAGTGGAGTTTGCTCCTGGGCCTTTTGGGAGCTTCAGTTATGCAGCCCCTTCGGCGTTCCTGGGATGGATTATTAACCCCCTTTGACCTTGTCTGTGCGCGCTCACCTGGGTAAAGCCGTTCCAACGGGAGGCGGGTCCCCTGACCTCCCCCGGGTCCTGCTGTCAGGAAGGGCTGCCGGCAGATGAGAGATGAAAGGGCCTCGCAGGGCGGGAGAGCTGGCGGGAGACTGAACTGCTTTGGCAGGAAACTTAGCATGCAGCCCCGGGCCTGGGGCCTGGGACTGCCGGGGAGCCGTGCCCGGAGGAGGAGGAGGAGGAAGAGGAGGAGGAGGAGGAGGAGGAGGAGGGGAGGAGGAGGAGGAGGGGAGGAGGAGGAGGAGGAGAAGGAGGAGGGGAAGAGGAGGAGGAGGAGGAGCAGGAGGAGGAGCATGAAGAGGAGGCGGCGGGGTCCTGGCCTGCCCCGAGTCCAGGCCGGGAGCTCGGCGGATGGGGCCCTCGCTCCTGAGGCCTTCTCCACCAAGGTGGCCTGCCACCACGTTCCTCCCATGTGCCTTCTTCCCTCGTGTTTAAAACGGGAATTAGAGCTGAATAACATCAACGCCATTTAATAAACACGCCCTAGGCAAGCGAGGGCGTTCCTGCGTCTGGCCGTGGGAATGGGAGGGAAACGAGCTGGCAGGCGTTGAAGGTGCCGTCAGGGACCGTCATCGATGCGCCACCGCCTGTCCCACTGGTGTTAAGGCACAGGGCTCCCCCTGGGTGTTGGCAATCCTCCAGGAGCCGCCGGAGGATCCCGGTCCTGCTCCCGGAATAGGGGCAGATTCGTTTCTGGAATCATGTACCAACACGGGAGTCTCTGTGGGCAGCCTGCTCACCACCTGCAGCGCCCAAATGCCATCTGCCATCCTCCGCCCGCGGTGGGCAGCGCCCACCTGGCCCTGCCTCTCCGCCCGCAGTGTCCTCTGGGTGAGCTTGCTGTTAGGATGAGGTGGCGGCAGTGGGAGGTGACTGCGTGTGGGGGGACCACCCTCCTCTGTTCCTTAGCAGATGGGGAGCGACTTTCCACGTCGGTGCTGAGTGGTGGGGCCCCGTGTGACATCACAGGAGGTAGCCTTTGAGGTCACAGATAACCCGTTAAGGACAGAACTGAGTGTCAGACTTGGAGGCAGAGTTTGGGATTGCTAAAGCTCCTTTACAGCCGTCCCTGCTGGGAGGATGTCCATAAGTGCAGCGTCTGTACTGTTTGCACACTAGCTGTGCCTCCCGACCCACCCATTGGCCTCTTTCTGTTCCCCAAGAGCTGGGCCTGAGGGTAACTGCTGTGCCCATCCCCCAGCTGTTCCTGAGCTCCTTTCGGGTCCCCATGCGTTGCTCCTGGTGCTTGTCATCTGCTGTCCTTGACACTGCCACGCGGGGTCTCGGGCAGACTGTGCATTTGGACACAGCAGGGTGTCTGCCACCTGTTTGAGGCGGGGCTGACATGATCCAGGCCTGAGGACTGCCCTCTCCTGTGAGCCCATGGCCGTCCTGCGTCCGGAAATGATGACGCCCCATTTGACAGACCGGGGAGCTCAGGCTCGCAGCTAAGAGGACCGCCCGGCACCTGGCTGGCGGGGAGGGTGCGGGTGTCAGTCTGTCCCACCGCACACCCCTGCTCTCAGGCCTCCCACCTCCTCAGGCTGCATTATGGTTGCTGGCGAAAACCAGGTGTGAGAGCCTGGGCCTGGCCTCCAGGAGGCACCCTGTCCCCTGAGCTCAGCTCTGCCAGCGAGACCGCCGAGCCCCCGCCACTCAGAGCCTCTCAGACCGGAGCAGGACCGGGGCCCGCCGTTGGCAGGTGTCCTTGAACCCACACAGCACGTGGGTTTCCTTCTGTCCCTTCCCTCGGAAGCGGAAGAGGGGGCGTCGATGTGCTGTGTGATTCCGGGTTAACTCTCTGCAGTGCACCGGGAACACACTCACAGAGAGGGTCAGACCCTGCCTCCCTAGGAAAATGAAAGCAGAAATCACAGTAACAGCACGCAACAAAACCACGCACCTGTGCATTTGTGTGGTCACACATGCATGTGATGTGCGTGTGTGCTTCTACAATCTGAACATAATCGGTGCCCGAGGCAGCCCCTCGTTTCCTCAGTTCTGCTCGGTGGGGAGACCTCTCCACGTGCCCGTCGGGGGGGGGGGGGGGGACAAGCACCGAGGCCCGCTGGCTCCCCCGCCCTGCCGCCGTGCGGCCTGGGAAGCAGAGCGAGCTTCCAGATGGAACAATGTGTTCTGCCGTGATTTTGCTTTAACCTAAGTGAGGAAACAGAATTTTGAAAATATTTCGATTGTTAGCAAGTCACCTTTCTGTGATATGGATGTTTGGTGGCCAGCCTGCCTGCGGAAGGGGCTCCTGAGAGCAGATGTGTTGGGACTGGGTGAGAATGAAAACTGTTTTGTTTTATGTTCATTAATAGAGAACAGGCTTATCTAAACAAGCGCCAACGACTTTGTTTGCTGTTAGAATGGCCTTGGGGCTGATCTCAAATTAATATATTCAGCCTGTCTCCTTTTTGTCATAAAATTGGATGGTTCATTTGCTAGCAGAAATACATAGTTATTCAGGAGATTTTTTTCCCCCCTACAAAGTGTTTTAAAGGAACCCATGTTTAGGCCTTGTCTGTACCAATTTAGAGCAGTGCCTAAACGTGATTTAAGAGACTGGATACCGGGTGGGCTGGGGTGGCAGCACAGACAAACCTCAGCGTCGGAGAACCTCTGCGGGGTCGTTTTTCATCGCGAAGCTCGCCCTCTCCGCTTCCCGTTCCCCTAAGCGCTTCAGTGCGGTCGTAATTTTTCCTCTGACTTCGGGGAAGCTCGGATTCCATCTATTATTATAATTAAATTCAAGGAAGGCTCACTCAGAACCTCCCGGGCCTGGTGCTGGGGGTGTCAGCGTAAAGCAGGCCGTGTCTGCCTTCCGGGTGGCATCCCTGGGAGGAAGGCATTGATGCTGCAGTGCCATGGCGGGTGGAGAGGCGTGCGTACATGTGAGGGTGGCCGGCGGTCAGCTGGGAGTGAGGAGACGGGACGCCGTTGGGGGATGCTGTCAGAGCTCGCGTGGAAGCAGCTGCCTGAACTGAAACCGTGGACACAAGCAGCAGTGTGGGGGTGTGAGGGGGGGGGTAAGGGGAGGAGAGGGAACTGATGTGAGGTGACAGGAGATTTGCCTTTGGTGGGTGGGCACACGGTGCCACATACAGCACTTGTAACATAGAAACCCACACCTGAAACCTATGTTCATGTGGACCAGTGGCACCCCAGTCAGTTTAATTTTTAAAAATCCACAAATTAAAATCAAGAGCGGACTAACAAATGTTAACCTAAAACATGTAAAATCGGGGAAATCAGGTTCCGTGTGGTTGGTGTGCTTCCCGCCTGGAGGACGGAGCCCCGCACAGGAAGCTCAGCCCAGCAGGCGGTCTCTCTGAGCTGGCCTCGCCCTCCGCCTCCCTCCAAGGGGTGCGGTCCTCCCTGCGGCAAGGCCTCCCACCCACCCCCCCTCCCCCCACCGCCGCCCCGGGAGCTAAGGCAGCGCCTCTGTCTTGCAGGAGCCCCGTCCTGGTTTTCCAGTGCAACCACCGCCACGTGATCTGCCTGGACTGCTTCCACCTGTACTGCGTGACCCGGCTCAACGACCGGCAGTTCGTCCACGACCCCCAGCTGGGCTACTCGCTGCCGTGTGTGGGTGAGTCTCTCGTCCCCGTGGAATGCCGGTTCAGACAGCAGAGCGGCTGGTGCAAACCTGTCTCAGCTGCACCAGGCCCAGCTGAGGCTGGAAAGGGAAATAACGATTTGATCGTTCAGGACAAAACACCATGATGTTTGGGTCACAACAAAATACAAACTCTGCCGAGTGGGCGGGCTGTGTGGAGCCAGAAGGCGCAGAGCCTGCCAGGCCTGGGCGGTGAGAGCAATGGCTTTGACCCAGGCACCCGGCGCCCGCTCCCGGGTCCCCTGGGTGCCAGCCTTCCTGCCTGCTCCGAGCAGCACCGCCCGAGTGAAGGCAGGCGCCTGGTTTGTAAACACTGGGCGCACCTGCACACGTGTGTGAAACAGCGTATGTTAAGAGAGGAATCAAAGGAGGGTGGGCTAGAGCTGAAATACTTATGATTTGAAGTATTTTTAAATCTTTCAACATTTACAACCTAATACTTGCATTATGTTATTATTATTATCTGTCTTTTTAGTTGAGGTGAAGTTCGTATAAAGTGTAATTAACTGTTTTAAGGGGTGCAGCTCAGTGGCATTTGGGGCACTCACAACGCTGGGACCACCCAGCTCCCTCTAGGTTTGGAACGATCTTATTACCCGAGAAAAAACAGCCCATCTGGATCCTTCATAGGAAAGGGATCCTACAACCCGTGATCTTTTGTGTCTGCTTCTTTCACTTAGTGCCATGGTCGGCAAACTGCAGCTCGAGAGCCACATGCGGCTCTCTGGCCCCTTGAGTGTGGCTCTTCCACAAAATACCACGGCCTGGGCTAGTCTATGTTGAAGAAGAGGTGTTAGAAGAAGTTTAAGTTTAAAAAATGTGGCTCTCCAAAGAAATGTCAGTCGTTGTCCTGTTGGTATTTGGCTCTGCTGACTAATGGGTTTGCAGACCACGGACTTAGCATAATGTTTTTGAAGTTCATCCGAGTGGTGGCACATATCTTCGTTCCTTTTCATGGCTGAATCACAATCCATTCCGTGACCAAACCACAGTGTGTTTATCTGTTCATTTGTCGCTGGGCATTTGCCTTGTTTCCACTGTGGGCGATGATGAGTAATGCTGGGTGTACTGTAACTCTGCGGTTGACCTGCTGAAGGACTCTAAGGACTTTCCCAGCACCAGTTCGCAGTGTCTCCAGCAAATTGGTTCTTTTTGTTGTTGTTTAAATAGCCGCCCTGCCAGTGTGAAGTTTTGCATTTCCTGCCTGACCAACAGTGCTGAATCTCTCTCATCCGCTTGTTTGCCATTTGGATGTCTGTTTGGAGCGATGTCTGCTGTGCATTTTTAATGGGGTTGTCTACCTCGTGGTTGAGTCGTTATGTGTGCTGGACACGAGACCTCGATCAGATGTGTGCCTTCCAAACCTTCCTCCTCTTCTGTGGTTGGTGGCCATGCCCCTTGGTACACAGCAGTGGTTCATTTTGATGAAGGCCAATCTCTCTTTTTTTCCTGTTGCTGCTTGTGGTTTTGATGCAAAATGTAATAACCCATTGCCAAGTCCACGGTCATGAAAATGGACCCGTATGGTTTCATTGAATAGCTTAGCTCCTGTATGTAGGTCACGGATCAGTTTGAATTCATTTCTGTCTGTGGCGTGAGGTGAGGGTCCGCACCTCAATGTGCGTTGGCTTTTATGACTGCGGGTTGAGTAAATATGCTTCATGGGCTGTGAGAATTGTGGCTGGAAACTGTGCAACACCCTGATGGAATGATCAGACTGTACGTTTGGTTTCTCTCAACACTTAGTCCTAATGCCGACCAAAGCTGAACAGCACACCTCCGCAGACGCTCAGACCCAGTGCAGATAGCGGATTGCATGGCTGGCTTTGTCAATTATGACACTGGTTTTTCAGTTGTATCTGCCCATGACGCGGCGGTGTGTAAACTAGGATTTACATAATACATGTGTTCATATATTGCTAGGGAAAACTTATCTACAAAAGGGAACAACAAGCGGGGCCTCCCCTGAGTCTCAGTAGGGGACCCCTCTGTCCCTCAGGCTGTCCCCTGTCCGACGATGACACGGCGGCAGCTGACATGCTGACCAAGGCCTGAGAGAGTCCAGCACCAGCCGGAGCATTCTCAATGGAGCTTAGCTTTTTCACATTTAAGTAATATAAGCCCTAAGAACACCTCCAATAAGCAGCAAACCTGCACTGCGGATCAGCACACAGAGCACATGTCCGGGGGCACCAGAGCACGGGGAGCCACGTTCAGATCCCGACGCCGAGACGGAACCTGGGCAGGGCCAGTGACTGGACAGGATGTGCCTCGGTTTCCCTTTAGGGTAAAACAGGGAGACACAGCAGCACCCCTTTCAGATCCTGGCATGGGGAGTGGTGAAAACAAAGCCACAGAAGGTGCCATTAGGCTACGTGCCGGAGAGAGCTCAGAATGAGCGTTGGCTTTTGTTATTTTGGTTGTTACATGAGCATGCGTTCCCGTGGACCGTACGAGATGCTGTGTGTGCATATGCGTGTATATTCATAGAGGAACATGTATTTAGACATCCCTTAACTGTAGGCAGGCATTTCCTGTAACTCAATGCATAAACCCACCAATTACCGGGCACTACCCACTGGTCCAGCTATCCAGCCCCTTTCCCTCTGGTTTATTTAACTGTGCCCTGATTCACAGGGCGTAGCGTAAGACAGAATATAAAGTAGAAATACTACACAATTAGGAAATCAACGTTTTCAGACTCAGGAGAAAGCAGTTATTAGGAACAAGTGTGGATTGAACCGTGTCGTTTCGGAGGCACAGCTGAGAGAACATGGGGTTCATAGGAGCCGATGTCAATGGCGGTGGCTCATCAATAAACGAAGTCGTGTGAGTGCAAACAAAGGGGGCTCTCGCCAGGCCGGCAAGAAGCCGGTGTGGCTGGTCCCAATGGTTCGGTGCCGGGGACTCCCCCCTCGGCTGCGAGCCGACCTCGGCTGCTCCAGGTCAGGGCCCGGCATTGACCTTGGTTTCCGGAAGCTCAGGCGCCAACCTTGTTGGTTCCCTGAAGGATGTGCGTTTCCCGTCCCGCCATGCCAGCTAACAGGCCTGGCCAAGCGGTTCCGTTCCGGGAGGCCACCAGCTGTCCTGGGAGTACGGCTCCTCCAAGAAAGTTATGTCTTCAAGGGCATTTCACTCCTACCGCCATCACTGCCTTCCCGTGACCGAGTTCATACCTAACGACAGATGTTTCTTCAGCCCTGGCAGCTACTCCCCCACATACGTGCACACTCACACACACTCATACTCATTCACACACACACACAGAAATATACACACACTCACACACACACTCATACACACTCATTCACACAACACACACATAAAATATACACACACTCACACACACACTCACACACACTCATTCACACAACACACACAGAAATATACACACACTCACACACACACTCATACACACAACACACACAGAAATATACACACTCACACTCATACTCATTCACACAACACACACAGAAATATACACACACACACTCACACACTCATTCACACAACACACACAGAAATATACACACACTCACACACACACTCATTCACACAACACACACAGAAATATACACACACTCACACACACACTCATTCACACTCATTCACACTCATTCACACAACACACACAGAAATATACACACTCACACACACTCATTCACACAACACACACATAAATATACACACTCACACTCATACACACTCATTCACACAACACACACAGAAATATACACACTCACACACACACTCATTCACACAACACACACAAACATACATTCTCTTATACACACTCACACTCATTCACACAACACACACAGAAATATACACACTCACACTCATACACATTCATTCGCACAACACACACACAAACATTTATACTCATACACACTCACACTCATTCACACAACACAAACATACACACTCACACTCACATACACTCACACACTCATGCACGCAACACACACATAAACATGCACACTCTCACTCATACACACACAAACATACACACTCTCACACTCACATGCACATACATACACACTCTCACACTCATACACACACACTCATTCACACAACACACACATAAACATACACACTCTCACTCATACACACACAAACATACACACTCTCACACTCACATGCACATACATACACACTCTCACACTCATACACACACTCATTCACACAACACACAAACATACACACTCTCACACAGAGACAGACAACACACTCACACATACATGCGCGCACACATACATGCATTCACACACATGCATGCACACTCACACACACACACATGCAGTAACTGTTAAAACCATACTGTGTGGTGTCCTGTATTAATGAGATTTCATGCACAGAAATTGCTAGAAGCCTCTGACCTCCAAGTAGCTCTGAAATAATTAATAGTGTGCTTAGGGGGGGATTTGCATATTCATGAAGGTTATGTCTTAGGCTGCTCAGCAGGACAGTGAGACAAGTTAATGGTCCAGTGCAGCCCAGTAGCCAGAGGAGCGCTTTACCACTCTGACGTCAGGATGGGCGGAATCTGCTATCTGGACGACGCAGGCCTGTTTCCAGTAAAACCTGAGCGCCCAGCCGTCCTGGAGGGGCCCGTGCAGGCGGCACTTGGCGTTGAGGAGGTGTTGTCCTCACCTCTTCCCTTGCGCCTTGACTAGAAATCGTTTCTCTTGGAGTGACGCGCTTATAGAAGGACACGTCCAACCCCAAGCAGCGCAAGCCCGGGAAGGAGGAGGGGGAGACAGACTGGTGGGGGAAGTGGTGCGATTGTTCTGCTGCCGTCCAACCCCCACCCCCAGCTGCCAGGAGCAGCACCCTCCGGGGTGACCAGCACAGTGCTTCCGTCGTCGCTCTGTGGGCGTGGACTGGCCCATCACCACCTACCGCCCCGGGCGCCCAGGAGCAGGCTCATGTCGCAGTCTGCAGGCAGCGGTCCGCGTCCAGGCAACACAGGC